ATGTGGTGCTGGGGGATTGAACCGCAGTCCCTGTGCTTTGCTAAACTTGCTCTAAGTAGGTGCTTTAGACCACTGAGCCATCTCACCAGCCCCAACCTTTTGTTTTTGATTGGAGCCCAACGTGTACAAAGTGCATAAATAATCATTATACAACATTTTGGGTTCCCACAAAGCAAACCAGGTCAAGAAACACACACACAGGCGCACACACAGGCGCGCACACACACAGGTGCACACACACAACACACCCATATACTAAAGGGAAAGACTGTTTAGTGACTGAGAAAGTCTGTCTCCTGCTAGATGCAAATCAAGATTTTCACTAATTGTTCCTCGTAGACATTGTAAAATGAAGTCACCAGCTGTAGGATGAAACTAATAATGGTGTTCTTAGTGAAGAAGCAGAAAGAACCTGAGCCCCTTTGATGAGAGTGTTGTTTGAATTATATTAACTGAAACTGAACTGTACTTTTTCTCTGCACCCCAGTTATATGAACCTTCAGTTTTCTTGTTGTTTAAATCTGCTTGGCTTCCAGCCAGAGAGAGGCATTCTATCTGATGTCATTAGGTTAAAATCTTGTCGTTATTTCAATTGTGTGTTAGCATTTGAAATAGTATCTCAGTAGCTTTTCAATTTTGCCCAGAATTTTCTGAGCCAGATATCATTTTATTTGATAACTAGTATTAGAGAATTAATAATAGACACCACTGTTACCTGGCTGAAACCATTCTAATCATTTGTATGTATAGTATGTACTAACTCATTGCATGTCCTCAGCAATCCCATGAGATAAGAAATGTTATTGTCTTCATTACATAATAATGTTTAACTCTAGCCCATTTCAAGAAAGGAAAAATAGAACTCTCCAGGGCTATGCTGTCCATCATAGTAGCCACCTGTGACACCACTGTACACTTGAGAAGTGGTGTAAAGCCAACGGTGTGCATATCAGATTTGAAGGGCTTCCTATGAATAAAAGAACATGGATTGTGTCCTAAGTATACTAACTACCTGTTCAGAATATTTTGAAGGGCCGGCAAGATAGCTCAGCAGACTAAGCACCTGCTTAGGCAAGTATAAGGACCAGGGTCCGATCCCCAGCACCACATGCCATGCCAGCCTGGCCCCAAGGCATGCTGAGCTGACCACCGAGACCAGGCGTGGTGGCGCAGTGCTGAGGAGGCTGAAAACAGGAGGATCACTACGAGTCTGAGCTGCGCAGTAAGACCCTGTACCAAATGCATAAAGATAAATGAAATATTTTGCATATATTGTGTTAAAACATGTAGTGAAAATTAGCTTTCTTTTTGACGTCTTTGTGTGGCTCCTAGAGAAACGTTGCACGACCTGTGTGACCAGTGTTGGCATCAGACAGTGCTAAATACTGGGGTGCACACCTGGACCAGCAGTAGCAGCTTCAGTCAGAAGCTGAATTGGAAACCTGCTGAATGAAAAACTCAGGGTGAGGCCCTGAATCTGAAAATCAGCCTTTGTGTTTTTGGTTTTATTTTTGTAAATGAAAGCTTTATTGGCATTTAAGTCACTCGTTTAGTTTGGTGGTTTTTACTGTGTCCATAGGGTTGTGCAAACATCTAACTTGGAATATCTTCATCACCATCGTCAGTCACTCCTCATTCCCCACATCGCCCCAGCCCTAGGCAACAGCTGAACTGCTTTCCATCTCTGCAGACTCCCTGTATAGATAAAGCAGAGGAATGCAATCCCACAACACGCAGTCTTCTGTGCCTGGCTTCCTGTACTAAGCAGCGTATTTCCCTCTGTGGCCTCTGATATGCTAAGTTCTGAAAACTGCTGCTTTAGGGTAGAAATGCAAATGAAGTAGGCAGTCATAGAGCGCATGAAAAACAAAGGGTATTCAAAAACAAATACCCTGATCACAAGACAGAGAAAAGGCAAGAGACCAGAATGACATAAATAGCAAAAGGTAAAAAGCTTTCCAAGTGAGAAAATAAGCGATCACTTTCGTTCCTAAAGTCTGGGAAGGATGACATGGAGGCCAAATACAAGTATACATTAATTGCATTTCTGTTTTTGCTGTTAGAGCTTTAATCTTTTTAAGCTCCTTATTTTATCCAAGAAATGATAGTTCAAGTCATGACAGTAGGTGACATTACCAAAGTAGGAAGATTGTGCAGCAAGCAAAGGCTGGTGTTGAGAACATATTATTGGGAGACTCTCTTACATTCTAGGCAGTTTACAGAAGCGTTCACGTAGTTTCCTCTGTTACATCTAGCCATAATTGTGCAGGGAGTACCCTTGCCATGTTAGCTAACAGTGGAAACTAAGTTGAAGACAACCCTAGGCAATACAACAAATACTGTTGAATTCATATTATTTTGTTTAATAAAGTTCTGTGTCATTTCTAATTTTATTATTACTATTTTGTATTCTCTTTAAAAAATAAAGTGAAAAAATAAAGTGAATCATAGTTAACATGACTAGTGATGGATCAATACCCTTGATTACCCTTTGAGTGTGCTAAGGGCTTTTTACCTGAGGTCTTTCTCTTAAAATCTGGAAACTTAAGTTTCACCATGAAAAAAATCAGAAAACCTATATTGAGAATATTCTATAAAGTGTCCCACTACAGGAGGACTCCTTAAAATGGCAGAAGTCATCTAAAAGAAAGAAATGTGCAAAATGCACAACTGAGCAGAGCTTAAGGAGACATGATTGAGAGGAACTCTGGAAAAAGCTTTTATCCATATTCAAGTCAAATGAGGAATGAAAGGTTATTTTCTTTCATTGGACACTGGTGTATGCAAAACCCACTGGATGATGGTGATAGGCATCAAAGATCCCAAGTATTGTCAGCTAAAGGAAAAAAACGTTTAAAAAAGGGCAGGATTAGAACGATGAGAGGAGGGGCAGGGGAGATAGCTCAGTAGAATAAGTGCTTGCCTGGCAAGTGCAAGGGTCTGAGTTCAATCCCTGGTTCTGCAAAAAAAAAAAAAAAAGGGAAACTGAGGCTGACATTTTTGAACCTTCTAGCAACCCATCCTAGAACCTAGTGCCTGTTATGTCGGGTAAGGTTTTCCTTTTATTACCAGGAGCATCTTCACTGATAAAACCCCCTTCAGTTATGGAACCAAGGTTTATAATACTGCACAATGGACTGAATGCCCCCACACATTCATGTGTGTGACAGTATTCAGAAATGGGGCTTTAGGGCAGTAATTAGGTCAGAACCCTGGAGCCCTCCTGATTGGGGTTGGCATTCTTGTAGGAGGTATGACCATTTCTCTTGGCCCTGTGAGGACACAGCAAGCAGGAATCTTCCACAAACCTGGAAGGGGCCTCAACAGACACGGGGTTTGCAGGCGCTTTCACCTTGGGCTTCGCAACCTCCCACACTAGGAGGAATAAACTGTTTAAGCCATACAGTCCATAGTATTTTGGTTACAGCAGCCTGAACAAAGAAACACTTATCAGAAAAGCCTCGAGGGAATGCCCTTCAGCTGTCGCTAACGCAAGCACCTCTAGCAGGACCCAGCCTCCACTGTGCCTGGCTCCAGGGAGACTGCCATACTATACTGAGCCAAGTAGCCGTCTCATCATGGAAAAACAAAAACTTTTTGTCCCCTAGTTTGCCCTTCTTACCATCATTTCTAAAAAAAAAAAAAAAAAAAAAAATTATTTGTACATCAATTGTTCTAATTCCTAGCAAGGCCTGGCCACACAGTATTTTATCAGTGAATGTAGGAATGAATTTAAGGAATAAGAATTATCTCTTGGCAAGATTTACTTAGCAAGTAGAGGTCTTTCCCTAAGAAAAAGTTCAAATTACTGAATTTATGAATCTAATCGACCTCTTGTTGCAAGAAAAACTGCTTCAACAGTAGCCAGGTGCTCAGAAGAAAATTTTATTGATGCTAGCAGCTCCAGAGTCCGATGTGATAATTACAGAGCTTTAGGGTGGCAACCAGAAGGCACAAGAACGAGGGAAGCTTTAGCTGAAGCCGACGGTACAGTGGGTAGCGTGTGCAGCGCGCAGTCGCGTGCAGCGAAGTTTCTTAGCATGTTCACAGAAGCATCAGTTTGATGACAAATCGTAGGATTTAACTCAGTTCAGTGGCAGAGAACAGAATGACTGCATCTTTATTGAGAAAGCAATGGCTGCAGCTGTCAGGGTGCCTGCTGCTTCACTCCTCTTCAGTACTTCTAATATTTAACACGTGAAGCTGCTCTCCATAAATTCTCATGACTCACCTTTTAATATTGGGCCATTTATCCTACTTTCTGTACCACAATCTCCTACTCCTTATTTACTGTCCTCCTCCCACCTTTCCCACAGCTCTGTAACCACACAAACTCCCATCTTTCCAGGCTGTATAGAATCACAGCTGTTCCTGGTTCAGATCAAACTCGAAAGCCCTTTCACTACTGTCTCGGGGCAGCCTTTTATAAGAAAGAATTTGCTAAAAGAACTTGTTAGACAGAAATTTACAAATTCAAGTCTTGTTTAAAATTTCTTTTATTAGAGTCTACAAGTACTGCTGGTTGCTTAAATTGTTTCTGTGAACCCTTTTCATCCAAAAAGGAACAGTGTTTCCAGCAGTGCCAGAACAGCTGGCACAGGCCATCCAAGGTCTTTCTTGAGAATCTACAGAAAATCTAAATTGGTTTAGTTGTTTTGAGTGGTGTTTGGGGTGTCTTTTATTTTCTAGGCTATAAGGGATCTTCACCCTCGCTTTGCTTTTTTGAAACCCACTGAATGTCACTTCTAACAGGCAAGTGGACTGGGCTAATTTATAGTAACTACATGATGATATCAGTGACTAGGACTCCCGGCATCATGGAGACCTGGAGTAAAGAAGATTCCTCTAAGTAATGTAAGCATCACTTGGAACAGGTGGGTGTCCCTCGAGCAGTCTTGTGTTAAGACGTCTACATTTCTTCCCTCACATGGTAGCCAGGTCCAAGAGCACCAGGTACAAACTCGCTGCAGGGTTTTCCAACAGGAAACTAGAGCAGGAGGTGCAGTAAGGCTTAGTTTTGAGGTCTAATCTAAATACTACAACCGTGATGATATCCTGAGTATCTGTACTGCCTTCCGTTCACTACAGTTACATGTCTAGCCTGCTTTCTTTTCCATGGGACAGTGGAAGAGCTAAATGAGAAACAGTATACTGCAGCCTTGTCTGGTGTCCCAGTGTCCAGCAGATATTCTACCACTCTTCCTCCTCCTCATTCCCAAATAAATCAAATTACACCTTGAACATTAAAAGTATTTTATAAATAGAAATTAGTTTTCTACCAGTATCCTTGTCAGCATATTCTGAACGGTTCTCAAGAGTGCCTTCTCTTTTATAAAATAAACACTTTCTACTGTTTGAAGTACATGTAAAGTTTCATTTTTGTTCCATATTCCTTACTTTCCGTCCTGAAAAGCTATTTCTGAGGAACTGAAACCCCAGAAGATAGCCACCACAAAAATGTTAATTTTTTAAAGAAATGATGATTCAAAGGAAGACTTGAAGAGAGGGAATATTTAGGAGCTAAAAGGCAGCCAGAGCAGCCCCTGAAGGGAACTGCTCTAGTTATTACCTAAAAAGTAAAGTTACACAACTATATTCAAGGTCATAAAGTAAAGCACTACTTTGAAACTAGAATGAAAAAACAGGCAAAAAATCAAAACAACAAAAAGCCAGCAGAAAGGTAAAAATGATTTGAATCAGGACACAGATCCAGCAGTCCTTGGTGTTTCCGTTGAGTACTTCGAGTCACATTACTCCATTCTCTTCATCCTCACTGACATCTCAAAGGCTCATGTTGTTAGGACTCAAAATTTCAATCCAGTAGCCATCAGGATCTTGAATAAATGCCAGGCCTTTCATTTTACCTGTAAAATGAAATATTTCGTTACTGGAAACGGGGAAAAAATAAAGCCAGCCTTCCTAAAATCAACCTGAGGGCGGCTGCTTCTGCTGGGCAGCACTGGTAACAGACGCCTGCCTCAACTTCATGGTGCCAGCTCAGGACTCAAACACACATTTGATGCGGACCAGCATCCCTCTTCCCTTTGCCTCTAAAAATACCACAATCCCAGTCCTCTGTGATCCCACCAGGCAAGCTAAGCCGCACCAATCAGATTCAGTCTCCCAGGAATTCATAACTAGGATGGAGCTGCCGAGTTCGCGGCCAACCTGTGCAACACAGCAGGGCTTCATGGCAATCCATCAACCAAAACAGGAAGGCGCTCAACAGAGCAGCGTGGGTGCCTACCCGAACAAGCCAAGCACTGGGTGCCTGGGCCACACCAGCTGTGATAAACAGTTGTCCAAAGGCTCTGGGTTAAATCCCCAGTACCAAAGCGGAGAAAATACTCTTTCCCTTTCCCTCCGCCTTCGGAAGCCAGGTGCAGCCGTACACATCTGTGATCTCGGCACTGAGGGGCTGAGGGAGGAGGGTCACGAGTTCCTAGTCCCATCTGGGAAACTTACAGGGACCCTTCCTCAAGGTAAAAACAAGGCCTGGAAATGTGGCTGAATGTTACAGCACAACTGGATTTGCTCTCCAGAACCACACACACACACACACACACACACACACACACACACACAAGTAAGACCCTTTCCAAAGGAGAGTTTAAAAAAAATAAAAAAATCCCAATAAAAATGTGCTCTAAATCTGTTTTCCTCAAAACACACATTTGATGCGGACCATCATCCCTCTTCCCTTTGCCTCTAAAAATACCACAATCCCAGTCCTCTGTGATCCCACCAGGCAAGCTAAGCCGCACCAATCAGATTCAGTCTCCCAGGAATTCATAACTAGGATGGAGAGGCAAATGGGTCAGAGTTTGCTTAAAAACAGATGCGTGACCTGAGAAATGTATGTTAGAACCAAAATGCGGAACTGGTTTAATTCTTATCTCTGGCTCCCGAGGAACACAGAAGAGAAAGGAGAGGGAGAAGGGAGAAGCCTTGGGCGGGCTACCTGAGGAAAGGTGGGGCGGGGAGGGGACTATAACCTGGTCTGGGTGGGAGGTGGCAGGGCAGGCGCAAGCCGGGAGGCAGCGCATCCTGACTGTGTGCGGAAAGACGACTGTTCTTGCTCTCCCGAGTGCCGTGGGCATTGGCACCCGCCCTTGCTCTTTGACAGGAGTCACACTGGTTCACACATCTTCAAAAGAGCTTGTGCTCACAAGGAACCAAGAACAGGCGAGCCGGGCCGGGGAGGGACAATCTCAAAGGTGTCTCCTACTAACATTGCTTTTCACCAGGGGACAAAGGGAAGAGATCTGACACGCGGGGGTGTTCCGCGCAATATCTGACGCTCACTTCCTGGTGCCCAGTCATAGAGCCCCTGGCTCGCTCTGCCCATCTTTCTGAAATCACTGATGATGTTAAGGACTGGGATCTGGCCTGCCCCAGTCACACTGACAATGAGACAGCCAACAATGGCAGACACACATGCACACATATACACAGAGGCCAAAATGGCAAGAATCTGAGAATATACCTACGAGAAGCACCACAGCAGTGCTTATAGGCGCGACTATCAAATGAAATATTAGAATAGACCAAGAATGGTTAAAACAGGAGAAGGGATGGGCAGTATGAGATATTACTGGTATTAAACAAGAAAATATTAAAGGAACAACCATAAATTAAGGATGAAAATTGTAACAGATTAGGAACATAACAGGTGAGTTAAATGTCACGACAGATACAGTCGGGAGCAAGAGTTTGAGCAAACATCTCAGAAGTTACGGGAGAGAATAATAGAAAAAGCCTTCAGAACAAAGCAGAAGGGACATGAAAGGTATGTACAGAAGAGCGTGGGTCAGCCTGGTGGCACATTTCTCAATAACACCGGGTGCAAAATAACAACAGGGTAGCGTTTTCAAGACTAGAGGAAAATAAACCTAGGATTTTCAACAAAACTGTCACTCACATAGCGGCAGGGGACCCGACATACAAAGGCACAAAGGATTTGCCTTGCAAGCTTCTTTTTTTTTTCTTCCCCATAATTTTATTGAGAAACAAATAGCAATGAGACAGTTTTAAACCAAATTGGCAGGACAGTTTCAATAATTAACACATTGCATACTCTCTTCCTAGTGGTTACTTGCTATAAAAGATGCAGACATGATATCCTATTTACAAACACTATTACAACAAATTCCTCTATTCATTAAGAGAATGTAACTATCTATCGTAACCACTTTGAATACACAGATACAAAATGGACATTCATCTGTATCCCCTTTTTTTGTTAAGTTCCATTATTTGAATATTATAGGTGTATTAAGCAAGCTTCTTAAAAGCAATTTTGGGGTCAGGGAGATGGCTCAGTGGAATAAGCACTTACCTGGCAAGCGCAAGGACCTGAGTTCAATCCCTGGTTCCACCAAAAAAAAAAAA